TTCTTCTTACTTACCTCGTCGCGTCACTGCTGCTCCGGTGGGCGGCGCTCCGAGCGGGGTCATCTGGCAGTCCCTGGGTCCTAGATCACATGGAGCTATGTCATATTCTGGAGATATCTTTGGAGTGGCTTAATATTAACTTGAGAGATCCACAGTTTGTATGCACTTAAAGATTTAATTACCGCACAGTAGCAATTAATGACTAATTCCTTCCGCCCAAATCGGCCATCTGTGATGCTTTCTGTGGAAATTTAAATTGGTAAAGATTTTTAATGCCGAAGCCTTGAATAGCTGGCAATGTATGAGTTGAAACGTATTCCTACAAATGGCCATCACGTCTTGGTGATTAGTGCATTACATTTTCCACATATCCTTGTTAAAGCTTTAAGTTTTCTGGACGCTGCTTCTCATAGTATATACATAGACAGTGGTCCATAGAAATATAGGTTTTCTTAAGAGAACACGGCAGTATGTTTTCCATTTTTGTAGCTTTCTCTAAATTAATCTACAGAGGGCTCCATTAAACAGTAGCTGGATACTTTTGAGGTTCTGAATATGTTCCCAATACCTAATTTCTCACTTTAAAATGGGGAAAAAGGGAGATATTTGTGGAAAATTATTAATAGATGCACCAATACTGTTTTTTTGGTATCGAGTAAGAGTACCGTTTTTTAACATTTATTTTCCAATAATGATAATGGCATCCTTGGGCCCGGATTATCAGGAGGCTTCCTGATTGCCTGAAAAGCCTGTGTGCTATCCAAAGAACACCGGCTTCACTTCCCTCGCGACACTGCGAGGCAGCCTGGCTTCCTGACGAATCATGAAGCTACGCAATGGCTCATGACGTGCCACCTAGCTTCCTGATTGGCCGGGAAGCCGGCTCTGTGATGACATGGTCATCAGTTTATGGGTTATTTGTGTGTTGGTGTTGGGTTATGTTTAATTATGTTAGTCTGGGTAACTTGTTCATCAAAAGACTGTCAGCACCATTCCTCGTTAGCTCCCTTTGTACTCTGATGGAGCTCAGGACAATGACATTCTCCAGCATCTGGCCGGACTCCTGCTATAGCTGTCTGGAGCTCTTCAGCAGGTGGACCCCTGCGGGGTTGTGCAGAAAGAATGTCTAGGGAGGGTGGATGTGATTCGATTATAATCTGATCACTGTGTATAAATGGTTGTACAGTTGCTCAATAAATCAGTGTTTCACCCTACACTCGGTCCCGACTAGTGATGGGGAAACTGGGAGCTCAAGATCAGCGGGTTGCAATATGTCCTGAGCAAAGAAGAATACTGCGGCGGACATGCTCATCCTGAGTACCAGGGTTCCTTCACAGGCTCCATGCTCCCTTGTGGCACTGCCGAAGTTCCCGTATCGGGTAAGTATTGGAGCATTTGGGCTAGTAAGAGTATTCACCCAAATACTCCTTATCTGCATCTTTAGTATCGGTGCATCCCTAATTATTAATATTCCTCTTCGCAATTCACGTCTCTTCTCTTTATGGCGCTGATCAGCCGTTCAGACACAGCATTCCTGGATGGAGACCATGGCCATGAAGCCCTCCAAGCACATTCTAGAGGTGGGATCTGCACCTGGAGGGCACACAAAGTGATTGTGAGGCAGGTATAAAGAACACTGTAATGGTAGATTAAAGGTTGGGATAGTAGGGGGCAAAAATAAGATTATTCTAAAACAAAGTTTAGGTCCCCTTCTAACTATTTCCTTCTCTTTTTACTTTTGGTTTGGGAATTAAGAAGAATAAAGCTTTTAGTCTTTATGCAGGTGGTTGATTTTCTCATGTGGCTTCCATGTAGTTCATCAGAAAATGGAAAGTATTGGTCAAAGTAATTTTTTTTCCAAAAATGACCTGGCTTTCCTGTCGACCATTTGGCTTCCATGCATTTGGGTCACTGACGTAATATAGCTATGCAGATCTGGAGTTTGGGCAAGCCCTATGACGGTGACTCAAAGTACTGATACCAGACAGTTGGGCAGGAAAAACAATGCGGTGCCATTGACTTGAATGCACCGCCTCCTCCTGCCCCATAACCCCAAGAGGATTTTCTAATGCGATCCAACGCTGGAACACACAAAGTTCTGTGAACTGGCCCTTAATGTGAGGTAGAGGCTGTTCATCTCATTAAAGCTGAACTACAGGCACAGAAATCTTTTTTTTTTTTAAATATATTTCTCAACAGCCACAAAGGATTTAAATCCACTTTGTGTGCTCTAAATGTCTTTGCAATCTCAGTTATTGGCATATGTAAGTAGCAGTAACATTACTGTGCTGCACATAACCTGTGTAGAGCTGAATGGGACCCAGGAGGGCCTCAAACTACAGGCTGCTGACAGAAAAGCATTGGAGGGGGCGGATAGACCAGTCACCCTGCATGAGGGGAAAGAGCCGCAGTGACCGGTCTTTATTACAGGAAGCTCTGCACAGAGGAAAGTTTTACATATGGAATTACTACACAGAGCTTGAAGAAATTCACAAAGCACTCTAAGATTTGAGTAAGAAAGCACATGGTACCTATATGAAGAAAATGTTTGCTTATCCTGGAGTTTCGCTTTAAAAATAGATGTGTGAGGAATTTAGCCAAGCTGGACAGAGAAGCTCAGCTGCCTATGTTTCTGGATCTGTTGATCATTTTGACAGGTGGTTTTCCTTTGCTCTGGGAACCTCTCATTATAATCCCATCCCACCCCCAGCATTACATTTGTGACAGATTTACTTTACCATCTGGTGTCGTTAAGGAACTCCCTGGAAAAAAAAAAATATCTTAACCCTTGCAATGGGGTCAGTGCTGGTTTTAGTCTAGGTGCTAAAATTTTTATACTCACCTGAACCTTGCAGCCAGTTGGCTGTTGGAGCGCTCCGTTCAGCCTGTCTCCCTCCAGCTAGTATCCTCTCGTCCAATACACAGTGTATAGGATGTGATGATTTAAAGGTCCTTAGAGTGTAGGTGGAGGGACGCTGGATTAATGGCCAGTTAGCTCTGAGCTTTCAGAAAATCCAGTGCAAGAAATGAATGGCTAGTACCACCATCAAAGAAAAGACTTATGTTTTTGTAACTGGTGTTCTTGCTTTGAATGGTCTATGCTAATTATTAATGGATAGCTTTTGTCCATTGTTTGGATGCTGATTGTCTCAGAACAACATTCTTATTTTGACACAAAGTGTGTATTTGGAGCGGTATAGACAGCTCCTATAATAAAAACAAAAACATTATAATCCTCAAACCATGCTAATGCTGTAATGGCACGGAGTATGATCATTTTGGCTTCAGTATGAACGTTCTACCTTGGGTATTATGCTGATGTTTTAAAAGAAATCTCCAGTGTTTTTATACATTTTCAGTAATCAATGTGAAAATTGGCATATACAAATTCATATCTACCATTCGCAGCAAGTAAAGTTGTAAGCAAGTCCAGATAAAGTATTAGTAATTGCTGTGTTAAATAGATATCAGAATGAGTTGATGGAGGGGCCACCCTTCTCCGCCTTTATCGGCATACTGTGCCCTATATAGAACTGGTTATTTTTGTGAAAAAAGAGTGGATATTCACACCACAATGCATTTTTGTGGTTAAGGTTAAATACCACATGTTGTAATATATATATTAGGGCTGCGGAAATGAACGATTAATTCCTCGGTTAATCGTTCATTTTTTTGATCGATTAAAATTCTTTTGATCGGTACTCACCTCTCCGCCGGCTTCTGGGTCTTCCGTCGGAGATCCGGTGACGTCGATCTCACTCCCCTCCCTTCCCAAAGTGGCTCAGTCGGCTAACGAAGGGAAGGGGGAGGAGTCCGGTGACATCGATGTCCATGACGTCACTGTATTCTTCCCCCCCTTCCCTTTGTTAGCCGACGGAGCCACTTGGGCCGGGATTGTTCTAAGGAAATTCCTACAAGTCCCGTGGAAGACAGACAACTGCAGAGCGTGCCAGGGAATCCCTCTTCCTCCTTCAAGCTGTAGTACTTCCTCCAAGCTTCCATAGAGACCTGAGGATTGGGAATACAATGCAAGAGCCTATGTGTTGCACCCACGATCATTGCAACGCTCTTCAGGCTTGGCTGCAAAAAACAAAGTATCTTCACATTACTCATGAGATGAATGTTGCTGCATTCACCACCTATTTTTTTTTAAGGTGTACTTTGGATTTTGCATCCCCATAGACATGTATGGGAATGCAAAACAATCAAATGCCTATTGACCTCCTTTTTCGCGCTCGATCAGGGGTCAGATGGGGTCCCATGAGCGAGGGAAGTCAGGCGGTGGCAGAACTCGATAAGTGTCGACAGATCACCGGCCCAAGTGGCTCCGTCGGCTAACGAAGGGGGGAGGAGTCCGGTGACGTCTATGTCTGTGACGTCACGACTCCTCCCCCTTTCCCAAGTGGCTCAGTCGGCTAACGAAAGGAAGGGGGTGGAGTCTGGTGATGTCACCGGACTCCTCCCCCTTCCCTTCATTAGCCGACGGAGCCACTTGGGCCGGTGATCTGTCGACACTTATCGAGTTCTGCGACCGCCTGACTTCCGGTTTCGTTACAACTAAGGTTTGTTCAAGCAACTTGTTCTGCACGAGCGCCAGCCAAGGCATTGGCCTATACACATGCAGCACAGCAATGAAGTAAGAAAATAAAATAAAATAAAAATAAGAGCTAGGATCACACTAATCCAGCACGTTATTATTCTGTGTTGCCCCACTCAAGCGGCGGCCATATTGAGTGGGGCTGTTGAGATTAATAACGTGCTGGATTAGTGTGATCCTAGTTCATTTTATTACTTCATTGCTATGCTGTATAGGCCAATGTAGTTTGATCTGCATGTGCGTTATAATTAATCAATTTTTTTAACAAATTTGATCGAGCGCGAAAATTTTGATCAGTACCAGCCCTTTTTCCTCTAACAAATGTGTTTTAACCTTCAGTGTTTTTCTCCCAGTGTCTGCAAAATCTTTATGAAAAATAACGCCTGCACTATTTGTTTTTCAGGCCATGGTAGGAGAGGAGTGTGTAGGTGCCATCGTCTGCAAGCTGGATATGCACAAAAAGATGTTTCGAAGAGGTTATATAGCCATGTTAGCGGTGGATTCAAAATACAGAAGAAAGGGCATTGGTAGGTGAATTGTGCTGGAAGGTTCCTTTTATATTAATTACAATTATGGCATAGAAGACAAAAGCAACGAAACGCCACCTCCTTGTGTGAAATCTTTTTATTTGAATAATAAAAACGGTTATAAATACTCACAATTATAAAATTTCAGTCACGATTGTCAATAAGAGACCACAAGATCAGTATCTAAGGAATGTTCAGCTCTGACTGCGTATAAAAAAGCTGCCTCCGGTCACATCACAATACCATCGTGCCACCAGCTGCTTTTAGGCTGGATTTACGTGTTTCAGGGGCATACCCCCTTCCTCAGAATTCTGGCACTTCTTACCCCAGTGGAGTCCATAAATTGAAGGGGTATTTGGTGCCACGGGGATGAGCTGTAGCATACACAAGATTATTTGGGCACTATATATTTTTATGGTGTTTTTGCTGGTGCTTCAGGCACTGGTGGGGCCTATTCACACCACAATGCATTTTTGTGGTTAAGGTTAAATACCACATGTTGTAATGGTGTGAATTAGACCTTATGTGCAAGCATCGGGGAAAATGTATACAATCTCAAAGAATAGTCTGCTTACTATGGGGTCTCTTAATCTACTGCAGTGATGGAGGAGAGCAAATGGCTGCAGTAAGTATAGCAAAACAGGCCTGGAACTGTCCCCTGCTACAAAACACAACCGACTGATACCTGGATGCAACTTCCCAAAATCAAAAGATTCCCCTTTTCATTCATCCTTACCCCCACGCCAAGACCTCCAGCTGACACTACCACACCTCCCACAAGGAAAACAAAATGTCCTAGAGCTGTGGTGTATGCATATAATGCCTTCCATTGTCCTCCATATATAATTTTTTTTTACAGATTTGTATTTACATTAATTGCACTTTTGATTTCATAGTCAAGATTAACAAAATTGTTCTTTTTATTCACCTTTTCAGGTACAAATTTGGTTAAGAAAGCTATTTATGCCATGGTTGAAGGGGATTGCGATGAGGTAAGACCCATCACAGACTAATTCAGTTGTATATTGGCATTGGTAAATCGCCAGTCCTTTAAAGTGACCCTAAACTCCATGAATTCAATCTTAAAAATGCATTCGAACTAATAACAAAAACGTCTCCTATTTTGTGTATCACTCGGCTGTAGATCCTCAAATCATCTCTGAATTGGTGCGGACACTGTCCTTCCTTCTGGAGGGTGGCTACTTATCTTCCCCATGTTCCCTGTGTGTGTTGTAAAGTAGCCACTGCTCCAAGCTCACTCCTGTAGTGGACTATAACTTCAATTACCAATTAGTAAACTTTTTAAACATGAGATTGTAGTCCATCATGGGAGTGAGGTTAGGGCGGTGACTACTTTACAACACACACAGGGACCATGGGGAACAAAAGTAGCCACCCTCCAGCAGGAAGGACCGTATCAGCACCAATTCAGAAATGATTTGAGGATCTTCAGCCGAGTGATACACAAATAAGATACGTTTTTGTTAATAGTTCGGGCACTTGAATGTATTTTTAAGATTGAACTCCTGAGTTTTTAGTGTCACTTTAAATATTTTTATATTCAATAAGTATTTTGGGTATTTTCATTTATAGAAATCGAATAAAAAAAGTATTCAAAAACTAAAAGTCCGGGTAGGACCAACAGTAGGAAATGCACTTTATATATTTTTAAATGAACAGTGCTTACCACAGTGTAGGGGTTCTTCAGCTATGTCTAGAGCGCAGGTTTATCTATAGGGATACTTCAACTTAATAAAGCAGACTCATGATTAGGGCTGCAGCTAACTATTATTTTCATAATCGATTAGTTGGCTGATTTATTAAGTTCGATTAATCGGTTAATCGGATTAAATCATGATTGTTAAAAACTTCATAAATCACTTCTGAAACATTTCTAACTACCGTATAAGCCGAGTTATTCAGCCCATTTTTTGTGCTGAAAAGTGCCCCCCCTCGACTTATACTCGAGTCAGCGTCTGGAGCTGGTCAGGTTTCTTCTTACTTACCTCGCCGAGCGTCGTGTCACTGCTGCTCCGGTGGGCGGCGCTCCGAGCAAAAAAGACCAGGAAATATTTAGACCAAACTGAGGTGGGTTTAACCAAGGGGCAATCAGTCTACCGGTGCTTTTTCACAACTTCATTTTGCTTTAATTGACTTGTTTGTTATCCTGTCTACTACCCCAGCACTCTCAATGGTGTTGGAATCTGCCTTACATTCTGAATACGCATGTAAACTGTAGAGCCTTGGTTCTCAACTTGTGGGTTGTGACCCAAAAGCGAGTCGCGCCCCTATGTTTAGTGGGTCGCTGCATGGGTTCCGCTTCTCTAGATGAGAGGCTCCTCAGCCTCCCCCCAGAGCAGCACTGTCAGTTCTCGCGTCAAGCAGCCATTCAAAATATGCTGCCCAGCTTTTGTCAGCTTGGGATGGGGCTATGGCCGTGAGGGAGTTTAATCCATACATGCATTGCTTACAGCTCCCTCGCATGTCCTGTAGAGGTGCCTGGACCAATGTCGCATTTTGGCTCCTGGCACCTCTACAGAGCGCACGAGGGAGCAAGCATTGCACATATGACTGGAGCTCCGTCACAGCCCACACTGGACCTGAGGCTGAGGATCCACTCCAGTTCTCGTAAGGTAGGGAGTACAAAATGAAAAAAAAAAATTGGGAGTGTATATGTTTGTGTGAGACTTTGTCTGTGTATGTATGTGTTTTTTGGGGGCCCGTTCACACACTAGTACAGTGCGTTAAACTGTACCACACAATCGCACCTACTCTGGAGGAATTTATCAAAGCACTTGCGACAGTTTTAGCCTCTTAGATAATTTTTTTTTTTTTTTTTTTTTTTGCAAATCTGTTTTTTAACATGTGCCTCTGTTTTTTTTATGTGCAAATCTGTCTTTCAACATGTGCCCCTGTTTTCACCTGAGCTTGCACTACTTTTCCAACAGCACGTGTTTTGCACCTGTTTTCTTCAGAGCTTGCACTACTTTTTCAGTTGCATGTTTTTTTGCACCTTTTTTGCACATGTTTTCATCTGCTCTTTTTCTGGGCTGTCTGAAACTGGAGCATCATTTAAGAAAACAATCACAACTTAAGAAGTCCCCATGACCACTTCTTGTCAAGAAGCGACAGTTAAGCTTTTTGCCTGAAGTTACAAGTCGTCTTTCCTGGAGTCTATTAAACCTCATTTATCAACATCATTACATTAGCTTGATAAATCTGGTGCAAACCTATTCCGTGCAAGTTCAAACACCCGCATTTGCTTTGATAAATTCCCCCCTATGTGTTTTGGTGTTGGAAGTGTGTTGTGTTACCATTCATTTTGAATGGTACCCCAAACGCACCTCTCACCCACCGTTTGTACGCCCGCGCTGAAATGCGTGGTATCCTAATGTCGTGCGTTCCATTGCACGGCGACTTGGGTCGTGACTTAATGACCAAGGACAAATGTGGGTCCTGAGGCTACACAGGTTGAGAACCATTGCTCTAGAGGGCGGCGTAGAGTTGGGCTTTCATAGAGCTACATCTTGCAGCATCTTACCACAGGCTTGTTTAGTGGAGAGTATCTTAAATGTTGGCTGAATGATTTTTGCATGAACGCAGGATCCTTGCTCTTTTAAGTCAGTTTCTGATTGCCTACTTTATTCTTATTTTAATACAGGTTGTCTTGGAAACAGAAATCACAAACAAGTCTGCTTTGAAACTTTATGAAAACCTTGGTTTTGTGCGGGATAAACGCCTGTTCAGATACTATTTAAACGGAGTTGATGCACTGCGTCTCAAACTGTGGCTGCGTTAGGACGGATGCATCGAGGAACAAATCCCCAGACGTCACTCATTCAGGACCTTACTTCCATGCAGCTGTCCTGTCAGTATCCTGTTTTGCGTGTCGCACATATTTGTTGCACTAAGGCATGGCGCGTGTCTTGAATTCAAAACCGAACCTTGCGTTACCATCATGAAGACTTCAATTTGGTACCAGCGAGAAGTGCCAGTTGCTAGCCAAGACATAATTCATTCATTTGCAAATCTACTGACTGTGTTATATTAAAACAAAATGAACATTTTATAACAGAGCACATTTCGGTTTTATTTTTTAATTTTCCATTCTTTAATTATTGGGAGGGGGGGGGAACAAAATTGCTAAATGTGTTTAATATAAGGGGTGTTCATTGAGTCTGCCAGTGCCTGTAAAAAAATAAAATAAAAACAAAAGGTGTTTTTCCTTCCCCCTCCGGTAAAATGCATGCTTACCTTGATGTCCTCTTTCTTCACGGCTACAAAGGAAATCCATATTTGCTTTTATTTAACATTTCTGGAAGTAAATTATTTAAAATTTTTATATTTGAACATTTTTTTTTTTTCCCTTGTCAGTTTTGACTTCCTTACTTTTTTTTTGGCTTTTGAGAAAGTGTAAGCTACCTTGGTAATTAATCTAATCATTTAGCTGCTAAAAAAAGGAAACCTTTTGAAATGTATGCTGGTTCCAAATGCACTTTTCTTTAGGAGCGAGGGATTTTAAAGAAAATATTGTAAATTTGGTATGATTTTATTTAAAGCAGATGTTGGTTAAAGCTCTAAAGGATCTCTTTACTGTATCTTTTTTCTTCTTACTTTTTAAATTTTCTTGGTCTTTTTTTTTTTTTATTTGGTTTTTGCCTCCTGTTCCAAAATTTTAATTCTCTACAATACTTGATCTAGGATATAAAATAAATATCATACAGCTAAACCTATTTAATTTTACATGGGGGGGTGGGAACTTTATTGATACAGGGTTTCTAGTCATATTGTGCATGAACAATTTTTGGAAAGAAAGTTGTACTCTTAATGGGAATCTGTAAAAAGTAAAACACCTTTTGTGATTAGGCCCCCGGCTAAAGCAGTCTCGCCTGAACTCCATTACTGTCTACAGAGCAAGAGGTTTAGCTCCAGAACTAGTATACAGCACATGGGTGGGGAAATGTTGGCTCTCTGGTCAGTCTAATCACAGAGGCCCTATTTATGAAAGATTCCCTTTAAGTCAGTTTTGTAGTATTTGTACTTTGTCCATATAAATTCTCTACGGGGGGACCCTTTAGGGAGTTAATTCCCTCCAGTCTTTAGATCAATGTTATATTGGCCTTACTGCTGTATTACAATTTCTATTTTATTTTATTTTTTTTATACAAAATGTGAAAAATCAATTCCCAATACAAGTTTGTAATATTTCTTTTGTGTGTGACTTAAATCTTCGTAAAATTGTTCCCATCCATTTTTGTCTCACAATAATAACTGCCAATGAAATATCAACTGCGCTTTAATAGGGGCTTATTTGGTCGAGAGGAAAAAAAACTGCTTCTCTTTACACAAAATAATGCACAGTGTGCAAATTGGCATTTCCCTTCTCAAGCCTCTGGGGCTGTTTTATCTGGTGTTGCAGTCCGGGGGCTCCAAGGTGTATTAGACATTTACCATTTTGAGAGGAAACAAAATTACTTTTTTTTGGTTTTGGCTTGTGTGTCCAGCTTTGGTTGACTTGTCTACAACTGAGTTTGTATTGTATGTTAGTGTCTTCAATAAATCATGGAATACAATAATTTCACACTTTGCTGACAGACTACAATCACTTTGGTTGTTCACTTTAAAAGTCTGCATTTTTATTTTATTTTTTTAATGTAAAGTTATTGGATTTATGAGATGGGGTGGTTTTTGTTTTGTTTTAAAGACTGACTTGGAGTTGCTGTTGTTTTTGAAAAATGGAAACTTTCTGCACCTATGTTTTTAAAGCTGAACTGACCAGTATTTAATGTAGTTTTGGATGCATTCGATTTCCTAATATGCTCTTTAAATACAGCTCGCGCCAAGGAATGCAGGAATTCAATTAGAGTTGGGTTAAACTGCTTCCTACAGCAGGATGGGACACTGGAAAACAGAAAAAGATATACAGGTGAAACTCGAATAATTCGAATATCGTGCAAAGTTCATTTATTTCACTAATGCAACTTAAAAGGTGAAACTAATATATGAGATAGACTCATTACATGCAAAGCAAGATAATTCAAGCCGTGATTTGTCATAATTGCTGTCATAAATGATTATGGCTTACAGCTCATGAAAACCCCAAGAACCCCAAATCCACAACCTCAAAAAAGTAGATTATTGCATGCAATCAATAAAACAAGGTTTGTACATAGAACAATATCGGACCTCTGAAAAGTACAAGCATGCATATGTACTCAGTACTTGGTTTGGGCCCCTTTTTGCAGCACTTACTGCAATTACTTTTGCATGATCTTCTAGTTATTCGAGTTTCACCTGTAAGCTAGCACCCATATAATACCTCTACCCAGCATGCTGGTGTCCTGGGAGGTTGGATGCCTTTTCTTCAGCGTCACTGAAAACACATCTGTGTATATTCTTTGTGGTAGTCCTCCTAAACTTCTGACTTTTTTAAAAAAAGTGCAGATCTTCCGATCTTGACAGAATAGGGTATAACGCCACCTTCAGGAGTAGGACACTAGGCACAAAACAAAAACGTGGCCAAGCCCCCTAGCAGCTAGAGAGAGCTGATATATTTTTGCCTAATGTCAAGGAGTAAGGGCCTAAGCCCCCTGCTGGGACTCTTACTTCCTTTTTTTTATTTTGCAGGGAATACTCCTTTTTGTTTTTCTTCAGTTTTCAAGACCTATCAACAGCTGAGCTGGGTGACAAGCTGGATCATAGATGACTAGATCCTTGCAGTCCCCCCAGCTCAGCCATCAAGCACACGCAGATCCTTAGCTACGTGCAGGGTCGGCTGCGACTGTCCTATCCTGGATCTGAGGCAGCCTGTGAGTGTTCCTCACGGGAGGGGTGCATATGACCAAGTGGCTCACTGCTTTGTCAGTGTCCCCCTTGGCAGAGACAGCTTCCTTGCTTCGGTGGAGAGGAGATTCTGTTGCAGGGAGGGTACTCTCTACTTGTCAGGATATGGTAAGTATACAAAACTCCGTCCTATCTCCCTTCTTTGGGAGGGGGGGGGGTTCCGGAGCGGTCTGTGGGTACCTCTGCCTTTCTCTGCTGTCTGCCGGCTGTATGGTGCTTGGTGCAGTACACTTGTGCTGAGTGTGTGTATTTGTGCATCAGGCGAGTGGTAGTTTTGTCCTCCCACTACCACTGTTCTCTATGCCGACCAGTGTCCTGGCTGTGACTGTAGCCTCATGCATGGATTCATTTTACAAGGGGTGTACGTTGGGCTCTTGGAGTGCATATTACTGGTTATGGCCTTCCCGCAGAGCCTTTAGTCTTCGCTTCTCCTTATGAGATGGAATGGGTGGGTGGGCATTCAGCCACGTAGGTCCTTGGTATGCCTTATAGGATGCCAGCAGGGAATTATGGTGATTTTTGCATCTATTTGGGAAGTGCTTTTGGCATTGCCTTCGCTGTGCCTTTTGGCTGTGAGCCCACCCAATTGAGCTCTTGACTGTGTTGGGGGGGCGTTTTTGGTGTACAGGCTTTTCACTATTTATAGTGGCGCTTGCAGAGAGAGCTGGGGCTTGGTTTGCTTGCCATCCCCTCCTCTTCCTCTGGAATTGAAAGCCTCTATCCTTTTCAGTTGCCTGTGGGCTTATCCTAGCCTGTCCTGAGCGTCTCTCTGCTTGCCACGGTTGTCACCCCAGCTTCACTTCACCCTGAGCTGTAGGACTCTCCACTGTCCACTCCACCTCCACGCTGTCTGTGGAATGATATTTTGGTTTCCTAATGCTTCACAATGGTCTAGCTAGTGGCTCATCATCCTGCTGTCCTGTTCTGGGAACCTTGCAGGGGCTCCTTCCTTGCTGTACCGCTGCTTGAGCTGGTCTCTAGTTTTGTAGACCATACTAACCCTAATGGGCTGCGTGTGCATGCTTCATGCTCTTTTCCCACCATATAGCATGGAGTAAAAAAATATAAATAAATCATCCTGCTCCTGAAGCACCATGTGGATCTCTGTTTTGGCTTTCACTGCCCGCCTGCAGTGACTTGGTCACCTCCAGCCACCTGAAACCCTCATCAGCACCTGAGTGTTAGGAGTATTTATTTTAGGCCTAGTTGCATTACCACTTTGCAGATGTAACTTGTCTTTGCTAAGCCACTCAGAGGACAATCTTGCTGCTACAGGTGACCTCAGCCCATACAAGCCTAGTGATTTTGCAGACATTTATCTGATAACCCCAGAAGGACGAATGCCTGCAATATAAAACCGGAAACCTACCATTGTTAGTTCCTTTTCGTTTAAGTCTCATGCAGTTATCAGTCTGGATGTCACTTCTTAAAGCTCAATCTTTCAAAAACTGAGCTCATGGTATTCCCTCCCCCAACTTTTCGATCAGGATTGATAACACAACTATCCATCCCTCAACCTTCATAACCTCTCCAAAATACCTTCCTCGCCAATGGCCACAAAGCTACTCAATAATTTTGGCTCACCAAACGGTGAGGGGGAAGGGTTGTATTAGGCCTGCACGCAAGAGGATCCCTGCTGGTGGATTTTTGCTCTCTTCCTTACCTGTCAAGGATGTTACCCATTTTATCCCCTTTGGGATGTCTAAGGGTTCATTTCCTTCCTTAGTCTTCCCTTTTCTTGTGGACTCTGTTACCTTCAGCTTCCTCTTCAGTGTCAGGGTGCCTGGGCAATGTCATTGCAATTAACTTCATAGTTTAACAAGGACCAGATGCTCATTTGCAGTCTCAGTTGCGGGATATAGCGGTGCCTTCTGTTTCCCCGAAAATGCCTCTATGTTTGATGTGTCCCCACATGCTGGGCTTCATACTAGTCACATGAGCAAACTATTCCTGCCTCATCAGAGGGATCCTTCTTGAGAGCCTGCATGTTTAATAGACCTTCATTGGATGCCTCTTGAGTGCAACAGAACACTCTCCTCTAGGAAGGTTTGGTATTTCTCCCATGGATGATGTGGATTGTGTCGTTAATGACTGCATTTGTTTTCTAGGGGCAAGGTTTCACCTTTTTGAGCTCCTCAGCTGGTGGCCTTCCCCATCAAGGTATGCCGCTCTGTTCCTGCTTGGCAGGAAGTATCAAACTCTGAATGGCCCAGTACTTCCTTGGACTGTCAAC